GAAGAACATCGTGCTCTGGGAGAAGTAAAAGATGCGCAAGAGGACCACCTCCAGCCTAGTGTACTAGTAGTAATCGCATGACAAATTCATCCCTCAGCATGAAAAATGAAATTTGTAATGTTGCGGATTTACCTTTAGGAAATGCGATTACGACGAGCACGATGCTTTTGCACAGGATAGGTCGGAGATGAAATCAGCCTTAACTTTGATTCATCTTCTACCCCCCTCGAACACACCAGAAACGGCGAGCTCCGCGACTCTTGCGTCTTGCTTGCCGCATTTTCGGAGCGGGCGGAATACGTTCTCGGGAGGCGCGTGCAGGACCACTGTCGCAACGGGTTCTTCGATTTGAGCGTAGGGGAGTACTGGTTTGGCTTTGTGATGAACAGAACGCAAAACAAAAATCACGCTGAGACTACAACAACTAAAGAAGAGTCGACGTCGCACCCACTCCGTCGTCAGGCCGGAGTCAACCCTTTGGCTCTGTTCCAGTTTGAAGTGGAAAATTTGCGGCGGCAACTGACTGAGGCCGTGCAGTATGCGGAACAGGTAGTGGATACAGTCTACACGAACTACGTGAAGAGTACAAGGCCTACGACCGGCGTTGATGGTCGCAATGAAGCAGCAGAGAACAACTTCTGGGCCAATATTCATCTCGAAGATGCGGACCACCGCGGTCCAGAGCAGCAGCCTAACGCCTCTCAAAAGAAAATCCAGGAAGATCAAACCTCCGTCAGAACCCCTCCAGAACCGCACCGGCAGCTGCTGGGGCATGTGTACGCAAGCAACAACCAGGAAATTAAGCCGGTGTATTACCACCCTCTGGAGCAGGAGGTCGCGCAGCAGGAGGGGGCTTCTGCATCTGTTGCAGATGAATCTCCTACTACTTCCCGGCGGCACGACAGCGATGCAGACGTCGCTACTCCCGCTGATAAGAGTTCAGCAACAGAAATTCCTCCCGCCGCGGCCTCAACCACCGACGTTTCGCACTACTTCTTTCTCCGTCCCTACGTTGGTTCGACGGTCACGAAATGGAATATCAAATGTAAAAATGTCTGGGTCTGGAAGATTGCCACGTTTGTCATGCACATTTTGCATGACTCCTGATGTCTGTGATGCATGCCCTAGCATCACAGATTTTGCGAGGGCTTCCTGATGCCTATACCGCATGACAAATGCTCTTTCCGTGTAGCAAAACTTGGACTCTCTTTGCTGCTCATGCACGAAGAACATCGTGCTCTGGGAGAAGTAAAAGATGCGCAAGAGGACCACCTCCAGCCTAGTGTAC